GTTCATACAGCAGTCAAATGCATAGTCTGCCATGGTTGGGTACAGGACACATTTATTACTTCTTAAGTTAATAAACTTTTTTATACAGCACTTTTCAAGACAAATTGTGCATAAGGGCTTTACATGATTGAGTCAGGATTAAAACATTTCAGAACTGAGGCAAATAATATTATACAATTAAATTAATAACACAAATAAAGTGGAATAACAGACCACCAGCAATAAAGATAAATGCTAACAATAAAACATAAAGATGTTGGCAATAAACTGCAATGAGGCAAATAAAACAATCACACCAGTCCATTAAGAAATACTTAGAGTGATTACCAACCCATGCTATGCAGCCAAACATTGTTAAACTGATGGAAATTTATTTTAAATTAGTGTTTTTTTTTTTTAAATCAATGGAGATCCAAACGTTTCCAAAGATACCACACGTCAAGCTGGATTTTTGATCAAATGTATATAAATGTGTGTAAATGATGCAGAATATCTTCATTTGATGGAACAATGCAGGCATAAAACTCACTGATTTCACTGTTGATACTGATCTTCTCGACCTTCAAGCTACATAAGGAAAAACTAAATGGGGAAACCTTAGCTCATGACCAAGCATTAATGCAAATGTATTCTAATCTATAATGCTAACACACTTCTGCTAACATTCATTTTTATTTTATTTATAAGGCGGCCAATCATAACAGATGTTACCTCAGGACACGTTTCCTATAGCAACACCTTTTGTTTCCTCAGTCACCCTTCCTGGCATGTGCCAAGGTTCATAGCTCTGAAAGAAAGCCGCCTAATGTAATTACACAGCACAGTAATTTGAGGATTGACAATTAATATAGGCCTGTTAATCAGTTTATGCTTGTTTAGATTTTAAGATTCATTCACCTAATTTAACCTGGTGAAAGTGTTAATAAGACAGCCACATTAATCAGGCCTTAATCCGGTTCTTATGAAATTATTAGTGTTTACATAAACATCAAGATTGAATCTACAACATCTTCTCATCAGATTTATCCCAACAAAGTCAAGCCTATTTTCTGCCTCTAGTACACAACAATCAGAGACGAACAGTGATACAGAATGAACTCTGCATTGAATTTCGCATCTGCTGTGTGTTTGGTGGATTTGATCACACACACTGACAACAAGCCCGCCTGCGTTACTTAGACAGCACATTTGTAGCCAGAGCATTTGAGCAGGAGTGTGTGCATTTTCAGCATGACTGGCATCTGTGTGAATCAAATCCCAAATCCCTACAGCACTACTCCAACCCAGTGAACATTACTCATTCACGTTTACAACTCCAGCTTTTTAGAAGCCCCTCTGGGATTTGACACTTCCACCTTCAGAGTAAAGGGTGCGAGTGAAATTTTCTTCTCATTTTACTCGGTGCAGTTTATTTCTTCCCATCTTCACCTAGTACACTGATCTTTTGTTTTGTTGCAATCAACCCTGTCTATCTGGCTACTGTAAGTAGGGATTTATCTCTGTCTTAATTACTGCTGGTGTTAAAACCAGCCAACTGTTGTCTGGTGGTCATGTGTTTGGAAAATTAGATAAAAGGGCTTTATGGGGTCTCCCGAGCCTCAGGGTGAGAAACAAGTTGAAGAATAGAAAGAAAGCATTCTGTCAGGAGGAAGGGATTATTACTTTTATTACTTTTTTCATTAATCCTGTTCATTCAAGTGTATCTATCTTCCCTATCAATTTCATTTGTATTTTTAGTGTTATATTATTATTTGAGATGAGTGTTATTCAGAGACATCTATGAGTGCTTCTCTGTCACTGAGATATGTAAATATATTTACCGCCATCATGTCAGTAAGACATCTTGCCATTTCAGCACAGAAAAAGTTGAGATAACTCCATATGGCAGGGGTGCAGAGTGTCCAAAAAAACATCTTAAAAGCTTTTTCTAATAAAAATATAGCCTGTAAAAGGAACTGCGTAACTCACTTGAACTTAAGTTTACATCACATCATTCACAGTTTATAAATTGTTATCAAATCTTCTATCTAAATAGCCAGTGCACAGAAGGTATATTTAAAAAATAAAGAAATAAATTAAGCATTAAGTTATTTGTTTTAGATTTTAATGTGTTTGGAGGAAATACAAGAACTGAAGAGTTAAGAGAGCAGCAATAACCACAACAGAAAACCAAAAGTGTGCCAGATAAAGAAACTATAACTTATTTAACAAGCGTTCTCTGTACTGCTTAACGTCAAAAATATGTTACCAGAAAAATGTACAACAACAACAATAATGGACTACCATGCAAAGTGACATTAGCTCTTTATTGTCAGCTGTGCTTTATGTCCTACACAGAAAGTCCAGGCAAATATCGTTTTGTTTTTGGCACATTTACTCTCATCCTGAGGCATTTTATTATCCTCACCCTTACCTAGGTGTCTTTTAGCCTACTTAATCCAATTTTAACACTTCTTGGGAAATAAATATCACCCCTGTCACTCCTCTGTGCCTCGCTGTCAGCTTTCTAGTGGCAGTAAAAAGCAGTCTGGACCTGGGCTCCGTGCTCATCCCTCTCCTGCCTGTAATTGCTTCATTATAGCCTCTGCAGCGTCTCTGCCTGGTAGCTGGGGAGATTTAATAAGAGCACTGAGGATGCGCTCAGACTCTTGCATCTGGGCTCCTAGGATATTGCTGTGGAATTTCTAATAACTGGGTTTCGTTCCAACGAAGACAGAAAGTCAAAGAACATCAAACTAAGTACACTCCTGGATCCCTTCAGTCTAGTACAAGAGGCAAACGCAGTTCTCCTAAGCCTTTTGTACTGTGGCTACATCCCCAGCGGCTACTGCTTCTTCTACCGCTGAGACTATAAAACAGAGTGGATTGAGTTTCCCGTGGTCCATTTTCTGAGTGATGAGTTTCAGCGAGATGCGGGACAGCCAGATGATGTAATAGGCTCATGAAGCACACAGTAAACCTAATGCTTTACTCCCAACCCTTTTCAGTACATCATCATGTGCAATTTGAGCTGGAATCTCATCACTTGATTTACTATTTCTCACTTGCCTGAATGGTGGCTCTCCAAAATTAGGAAAATAATAAATCCCAAAAGCACTCTAAAAGATACGTGTCAGTAAAAAACTTTCAGTGTCAGTGATGGGGCACAAAACCCACAGTCCTTGTTCTGTGCAAAAATGCATTGCTAAGTTTAACTTAAGTTAAAATGAGGCTTCAACAGTCTGTGTTAGCCCAAGTTCTACACAATACAAATAGTCTTCTGAACTAACTTGATTTAACATAATTTTTTACTGTTGAGCTGCAGTGGAGTGCACTGATTTCAGCTTCTGAAATGTGAATATTTTCTGTTTTCTTTAGTAATTTATGACAGTAAACTGCAATTTAGGACATCACCTTGAAACAGTGATCAACATTTTTCACCCTTTTGTAACATTTTATGGACCAAACAACTAATTTATTAGTCAAGAAAATGATTTACATTTTTTATTGATAATGAAAATAATCCTGATTTACAGCCCTATACTCTATTTTGTTTGGTCAAGGCCATAAGACTTTACGATAATCAGGTCTGGAGAATACAATACATCATTTTAAGTGTTCTGCATAAAGCTACAGTTTTAAAAACTAATAAGGAATGTGAAAGTTCAGTTCTTTTCAAGTTCTGACCTTCTCCTACATTTATAAGGCTACTTTATGCTACCATCCTTGAATGCCCAAAGCTTCCTGTTTTCATGTATAAAACGTCTGTTTTCCACTTCAAAGATGAGCCACACACTGTCAAGCAAGCCTGTAGTGGCTTGATAACAGCGGATGGTGATTCGTTTTGATTGGCATTAAAAATTATTTTCTTTTTTAAAAACAGGGTCCAGTTTGAAGATCGACTACTACTCAAAACACAGCCAGGCTAGGAAATCCATCTATTTTTCATCATCTGCAGTTCCACTAACTTTGCTACTATTTCCTATTTGCCAAGATGGTGGCTCTGCAAAAGAACATTTACCCTAAACAACAGTAAGATAAATAAAAAAATGAAAATTATCATCAGTCAAGTCATGATCTTCCTGTTGGCCTGCAGTCGCCTCTATCTGAGTATCCACTGTTTAAAAGGAACCACACAGTGTCAAGCAAGTCTGAAGTAGTTTGATCCAACTGATAATGGTAATTTGGTGCCAGGTTGAAATAGCTGGAGGTACTACCTATTCAATCCCTAGATTACAGCAATTAATTAAAATTACTACAGTAAGAAACAATTTAAAATCTAGGAACTAATTCTAGGGCTAAAATCTTTCGAGATGGATAAAATCATCAGCCCAATGCTTAAAATGTCAGCTGGAGCAGTAATATAATAAATCCTGAAGGCGGATGCAGTAGGTATTAGAATTATTATACAGAAAACTGAGGAGAATAGTAAGGTGAAACTGTAGCACAGAGTGTATTCTCAGGTGAGGATTTGAAAGATATAACACCTAGTCATATTGAATTATTCTATCTATATTTTGTGTATATTGGTATAAAGTGGATTTGAGAGTCATTTGTTTATCTTTGATTTATATAATTTATTTTTGATTAAATATATTTTAGATGTAATGAATGAAGAACTTCATGAAGTATTCTGACCACAGTAAAGCTTATAAGATTATAATGACTAGTGGTTAGACTGAACACAAGTATGAAGGGTGCTGCAACATATTATCTACAGTAGGACTTAACTATATATAGAAAACAGCATGGGGGATGGGGAGGGCTGATCTGACCGTGTGTGTGTTTGTGTGTAGACTCACAAAATGACCAGAGGTGTACATATGTACGTGTGTGTGGATGGGTACAACACAATAAAAGACAGGTGTAGCTTGCATTTTACTGCAGTGTACGTGTGCATGCATATACACATTGCACACACTGTGTGCATGTTTGCACCAGAAAATACACGTCTGCTTGCAAGCTGATATCCACATATTCTTCCCCATCTGTGTCTGTGTGTGTATATGTGTCATACTCACGTGATGACCAGTGAGGTGGAGAAGAGCAGTGTTCCCAGCAGGCCACGCCGGCAGTCTGCGTTCTTCCTCTGGCGCTGGTGCATCTCGCCGCCACAGTTGTCACAGCAGCGGCACATGCAGAAGAAGAGGCCGACTATCGGCATCAGAACGGCAAACAGCAGGCCCACAGCCGCACATACTAGGAAGCCTATCTCGTAGTAGATGGCCTGAGGTCAGTGGGGGGAGGAGTGAAAGGAAAAAATGAGATGAAGAACGAGGGACAGATCATTTTTATTATTATTTTAGTATTTAATGGAGAAAGGTGGTAAACATGGAAACGAGATGAAGTGGAAAAAAAGGGGGATCAGAGGTGAAAATTGAAAAAGGGAAATTAAACAAGAGGGGTAAATGGGATGGGGGTTGTTGAGAGAAAACAGGATTGGAACAGGAGGGGAGGGCAGATGAGTTGGGGAGTGAGGGAGAGAGAAAGGATAGATTAATAGTGGCATACAGGAGAAGAAGGGAGGATATACACAAGAAGGCAGAGGATAGAAATGAGCAACAGATCTAAAAATATCTGGTAGGATCCCACCGCTGGAAATTCTTTCTACTCTTTGTCCAAAAGGGATTTGTGTAGAAACAATAAACACATTGCATAACACTACACACTGCCGGAGAATCCTTTCTTCCTAATTCTTAAACACCACAGGCCAATTCAATAACCAAGTCCTTAACTGCATTATTACACAACATAAATGCCAAGACTTTCTTAAGATGGGTGGGACATACTTTGCTGCAAGCTGGTGTAGACTCGCAGTAAGCAATTATTAAAGGTTGTTTTTTATGTCCATTTCTAACAAACGACAACATTTCAAATATGCACTGAGAGGATAGCGACACATGAAGGATGATGGGAAAATACTCAAATGAGTCAGAGCCATCTCCGTAGCTCTGCGGTGCAGTTTTTTTTCACTCTAATGAAGGGGAAAGACAGCATTTCTGATGAAAAATCTACTTCAATGGGAATGGACTACAAGGCAGTAAAAATTCCATCTTAACGAGTACTTTAGACTTTCAATGAGTCATAAAATCCAGATATTTCTTGAAACTAGGTAACAAATCAGCCCCTTGGGTGAGATAATTATACCTGTTTCAGTGCAGTTCATCCTTTTTAATAATTTTATAGCAGAAAGTTTTACAAAAGTAAGGTGCATCACTCAACCGGGTCCAGTTTATTGTGAGTTGAGGAAATCAAATGCAGGTGAAATGATATCTTGGCAGTGGCAGATTTCTGTTACTTGGTTCAAGATGTGACTTTAGTGACATATTGTGAAAACTTTGCAATTCCAAATGGAAGAATTACATGGTCCTTTTATCAGTTCATTTGTTACACCCAGGTAAAACTAATGCAGTCTTAACAGCCCTACACTCTACCTTCATGGTTGTAACAATTTGTCAATCACAGTAATATTGATAAGAGTACGCCAAATATTACTACTATAGTGCAGTACAATTCACCATGAACAACAACCTCCAAAATTACTATAAAATTGAATCAACACATCTCTAAAACAATTGAACCTAAAACTGAACATTTTAACCTTAATGAACGGAGAATTTATCACACAACTGTTGTATAAGACTGCATTGGTTTCAGCTAGGTGTAGCTAATAAGCTGAGTGTATATTACCTTTGGGCATTTGAAGCATGACTGGATAAACTAGAAAATGAATGGTTGACAAGCTTAATTCTTCAATTTTTGGAATAATTGCAGTTTTCACCTGTAAAACAACATACACATGCACTTTTAGAGTGCAGATACCCAGTATCTACAGTGGATAGTTAGTTTGTGAGGATCAGAGGGCAGTTGTTAAGGTTAAACAGTTACTAGGAATGTACAATTTGTGGTGAAGTCCAGTGAGATTTAAATGCATTAACTGAGACATGGAGTGAGCAGGAGAATGCTGATTGTCGTATACTTACTATTTCTGTAATTAGACAGTTTGTACTGTATAAACTGGGATTTTACTTCATCTCTGAATAGTCAGCTATGAAATCTGCACATCCCTCATTACAAAGCCTCAGTATTCCTCAACTTTGATTGAATATTAGAAATATTCAAGGTGACGCAACACGATTTTCTGACATATTCCTCCTGATATATTGAGAGAGTTAAATTGCTGCTGTTGGCAAGTTCTCAGCTTCCACCTCTTCTTGTCATGTACCACAGCGCTCTCGCTTAATCTGCCCCTATCTAAACCACACTCAGCACAGGCTTTGGAAATTGGAAAAATTGAATAGGGGATCGGTAATTCCCACACCGTATGTAACTTGTCACAAAGATGTTCAATAGCTTCTCGTTATGAAAGGATCAAAGCAGGGCTGCTATCACTGCTCCTGAATGGACGAACTGCTCTCCCAGCTGATTCGCACTAATCTTAATCGCCCTCATAAGTCAATGACCCTGCCTTCTCCAGGGACCTGCTTTTGACATACAGGGTGAAAAGAAATGGCTTTTGAACTTGTCAGACAAGAGTATTCCTGTCTGGTTCATTCGGAAATCTGTCTGCAAACTTGGAAGTCTCAGGGTGTGAACATAATTCAACCTCCAGAAGCTTGTGTTTGGATGGGTTAGGGACCCATCACACAGAGACATATCGCCAGAAATGCATTGCCTGCAAAACTGTTGTTTTCCTGTAATACAGTGCGCCTGATGTGCGCTCTCTTGCACTGTGCATCGCGGTTTTCTGCCAATTTTTAGATGCACATAAAAGTTTGCGAGTCCCGCTGGAGTGCCGCCGCTCGTCAGTGTTACACTTCAAATCAAGAGGCGGGCTTTACCATTTCTTACTTAGATCTTACTAGTTTTCCCCTCCCACCCTGGACACAAAGTCTTTGAAACACTTCCCTCTGGTAGGAGGCTGCAGTCCATTAGGACCAAAACCTCTAGCCGCAAAAACAGTTTCTTCCTGTCTGCAGCTGGCCTCATTAACAAGGCCTGGAACCCCCTTTGACACTGACTCTTATACCCACCCTGTATATGTGCATTACGTTAATGCACTCCTGTCTTCTGCACAGTT